AATTGGACCAAACAACAAAACTTCGGTATAAACTTTTATTAATAAATTTGGATTTAATCGGCTGTAATTCGGCAGCCAAATAACCCAATTTGGACTAGTGTAGTATAGATATTGAAAAAATAATTTATATAACAGAAATAAATATTGAGAAAACAATTTATATAGCTAAAAAAAACAGTAGGAAAATAATTTTTATAGTTATAATAGATGTTATGTAAAAAAAAATAAAAGTTAAGATTTTGAAAATATAATCTGAATTCATGAAACCATAAAACTATTAAAATTAGATTATTGAAATTTTAATAGTATAGTCTGAATCCATATAATTATATAACTGCTAAACTAGGATTTGGAAGGATTTTGAAAATGTTATTTGGATTTGTAAAATTATATAACAGTTTAATTTAATATGTGACTGTATTAATCATTGAATTGTTTTGATTTTAATTATTAGGTACTATTTGATTGGTGCAAATAAATATGTTAATTAATTGATAAGGATAAACTGAGTTTAATTTTTTGTTATATAGTAAAATTGAATAACTTGTAAGATACAATAATATCCTAGATAAGTGGTGAGAAGACTAGACAAAAATCATTAAGCCAAGTGAGTCTAGTGAGAATCTACAAGATTAAATCAGAATCCAAGTAAGGACGCCAGTTCCACAGGTGATGAAAACGATAGTATTGCGCTATGCTAGTGACACATCCCAAGGATCAGCGATAATAAGTGATTGGAATAACTGGGGTTAATATCTATAATTAACATTCTATACACATTGCTCTCTGCAATAATGGACCAGCAGGTTTAGGCAGGTTTAAACTAGTGATAGGATTCCCCCCCTGCAAAAGTTCTACCTGACATGTAGACATATCTACTTAATGTTGAACATATAGTTAGATAAAAAAAGTGGTTAGTGTAGCTAGTCTTATAGTAATATATGTACTAGGCAATGTTAATCTGCAGATTAACTATAGAGATATAAAGGGTATTCATGTACCAATCGATTTCCAGTTAGTTTGTAGAGACACTTGATGTCTGTCTGGATATTAAATGTATCAATAAAGATCACATGCCGTGTGCACATCTCACTTTAAAAAAAAAAAAAAAACAATAATATCCTAGATATCTTAGATATCAGTATATTATTTATAGAATTTTATATTGGTATTGACTATTATTTAACTGAAAACTGTAAAGTACAACTTTCTGAAAGTTCAAATAACAATAGTTATACTATGGTTCTGAAAATTAAAATCGAATAGAATTGTAAAAAATTGTATGAGATTTAGAACACTATTAAAAATAATAGTAAGATATATCCCATCTATTAAATTTAATATAAACTTAAGAATCAAATACAAAATTGAAGAAAATTGTTAAAATCTTTAAGTTATATAGTAGCTTTTTAGATATATCTAATCTAACTATTAACAAGTAAACAATATTGAATATAATAATAATAATTATGCTGATTATTTAAAGAAAATAAATTATCTGTTCTTTTTCTAAAAAATTATAAAAGTAAAAAATTTTCTAAAGTTTACAATGTAAAAGAAGTTATTATTTCTTAATATAGTTTTTAAGAAAAAAAATTAACTGGTCAGAGAAGTGATAAGATAGAGAGTAGCAGTTTTAAGAAAGAGAAAAGTTCAAAAAGAAAAAATTTTAGAAAAAAGAAAAAAACTTAACTTTGGCAAATAAAGGAAAGAAAAAAAGAAGAATATAATAATAATAAGTTTGTAAAAAAGAGAAAAAAAATAAAAAAATAAAAAAAAAATAGAGCTTCAAAAAGTATCAAATTGATATTGAACTGGTATCAAAATAATACTAAGCTATAATAAATTTAAGTATCAAACTAATATCAAAATAGTATTGAAGTGATATTATTAGAAGCCTTAGAAAAAAGAATAGTATTAAGAAAAGAAAAAAAACAAAAAAAAAGAAAACAATTTAAAGAAAAATTTCAAATGTAAGAGGAAGTAAAGGAAAAAGTTTTTTTTTTAATTTTTTTTTTTTTGTATTGTTATTTTTTTTATATAGTTTTTATAAAAAAGAGATATGTAATATAATTTGAATTTATAATTATAATTATAAAAATAATTATAGATTTTAATTTTATTGAAAATCTTAAATCTTGATTTTTTTTATTAAAAAAATAACATTATTATTTTTATAAATTATATCTAGAAACTTTGATTGTTAATAAGTAAGATTGGTTGAAAAGAGTTATACTTTGTATGTATTCTTATACTTGCAATGATTCTTTATAATTAAATAAATAAATAACTCTAGCCTGATTGTAAATTAAAAAAATAATAATAAACAAAAAAATAAATTTAAAAAATTTTTAATATATACAAATTATATTATATATAAAAAATAGATAATAGGTAAATTGAGATTATTATTGATCTTTATAAGAATATTTTACTTGTTTAAATTCAAAATAAAGTTATAGTACAATGTTAAAAAAGAAACAATAGTTTTATAAAACAAAGTTTTTCTAATTTAAAATAAACAATAGAACTATGTTCTCATTCTTAACTAAGAATATTTCGGTGTTGCAGTCTATATTAAGAACCAAAAAATTACGCATCATAATGCTTTCTTGCTTTATCACTTTTATTTCTTTACCCGTTTTATTGTTTATTATGTGGTGAAAATTATTATGGATGCACAACACATCACAAATCACAAACATCCTATACTTATCAAGAGCACAACATAGACTTACGCAAAACCCTTTTTATTTCTTTAAAAAACGGCCGTACAAACAACAAATACGTTTCTTTCTTTTTTATTTTTTTTGTACTCTATATTTATTTCCAATCTTTATCGAATCTTATCCTGGAAAAGTTCTCAATCCCCCACTCTCCTTTATTTTTGAAAGAGTGGATAGTAGTAAATTAATCAATCTAAAAAATACCTTTAATCTATTTAAAATATTAAAAATAAATAAAAAATAAAAAATAATATTTAAATCGGCTCTGCTTCTTACAAAGAAAAAGTCAGCCAAGAATTAGACTCCTTTCCCTCTCACAATGTTGATGAACTTTTAGAAGGATTTTGACATCGTCTTTAATCAGTATACATACACACATTCGTTTTACACCTTTATATATCATTTCTTACATAGAACAAAATGGATAACGTAGAAAGTAGCGATAACTCAAGTCCAGCTACTCCAACTTCTAGAGTAAATGACTCAGATGGCATTAAGCCTGATATTGTTGTGTCATCCCCAGTGACACATTCACCACGACGTACCATATATGGTTCAACTGCGCTAATAAAAAAACAACTACAAGATCAGCTAAATGAAACTGCGCTTCAGCTAGAAAAAACCGCCAATTTGGGTAGTGCCTTATTAAAACGAAAAACTGAAATGGAGGAAAGAATGAAGGAACTTGATAAAACTGAAGATGACGAAGTTCCACAAGATCTTAGGGATCGAATAGCAGCACTTGAACAGGAAGCAAAAGCACTCGATACAAATACTGCGGATGCTTTTATTGGGGCCAAGGGTCAATCACCGGTAAGAAAGTAATTTCAGACTATTATTATTTTATTTATATCTTTAGTTGTTGGAAATACTGTTTATAAGTGACTCTCATATATGTCGGTTGTCTAAATCGTACCGACTATTGACATATCTTTTATATTGAAAGTCTCTTATATTTTGAATGTCCGTGGATTACGGAAATATAAGAATAATTTGATGATCGGATACATTATAGCTTTATGGCTTTATATGTGAAATGTAGATTTATAAGCAAATCTTTTTTACAGAGATGAAAAATTCAAGTTATAGATTGAAATTAAATTTTACTGTACATTCATCACACCAGGGAGGATTAGACATAAGTGCTTCAGGATCTTCATCTTCCACCGCAACTAGTTCTATTTCAACTCCGGCGAAAGGAAGAAATAGATATGAGAAAAAAGGCAAGGGTCAAAAGAAAGACATAGAATTGGCAGCAGAAATAGGGCATGGTTTGCTACAAGAAGTCAGACGTTTGACGATATTATTGCAAGAAAAAGAAGAAGGAATAAAAAAACTTGAGATAGATAAGGCTGAACTAGAGCGTACTATCGAAATTCTTACCAAACAAGTTCGGGCAAAAGAAGAAGCAGAAGGTATGTCGTGTTCAAAATAAATTCAATTAACTTCAAAAAAGTTATACACGTTTCTTAAACATATTTATTTTTCATTTAGCACAAATTAAGGATGATAATTGGAATCTTGAATTGATGCGACAGGATCTTACTAATCAGTTAGATGAACTGCAACAGCAATTAAATAGAGCGCGTAACGATTATACGAAAATAGAAAAGGCTCTTGCCACCGCAACTGACGTTATCGAGCAACTCAAAGATAAAGAAGAGAAGTTAATGACAAACCTTGAACATTTGACTAATCGTCACGAAAAGGACATGGCTAACAATCGAAGGCACGTCACCGCTCTTAATCGGGAGAAGAATGACTTATTAAAAGCAGTTAGTGATTTGAAGACCCAACTCGACGCCATCTCGGCTACTAAAAACATAAGAAAACGTACTCCGGAACCAGGAGCCGAGCCTACAAATGGAGATGGTGAGTTATCAACTAACCAGGAAGCTTCTGGAATTCCTGCGGTTTTGCAAGGTAAAAACCTAAATCTTGAAGAGACTTTGAAGGCTCTCAATGTCGCCTACCGTATGATTGGCAGTCTTCGAGCGAATCTTCAGAAGGAAAAGAGCGAAAAATATGAAGTGAAGAAGCTTCTTTCAGATAGCCAGGAGCAGATCGAAATGATGCGCCACGAATTACATGATTTATCTGCAATAGGCAAAGCTAACAAGAAGAGTCAAAATGGAGTATCCGGAACAAAGAATGGACCTACAGATGTTAATGGGGATGAAGAATCTAATGATTTTGAAGATTCTCAATCCGGAGACGATGATGTCATCATCATTGATGATGGAGAAGATGAAATAATCGATAAGAATAATCGACCATCATCAGATATGTTTAAGCCTCGTCGGAGGCCGGATCTTATATCTAAAAATTCTAGAACAAGTAGAGGTTCGGGTCGAACGTCCTCCTTATTATCACGAATATCCAATAACAAGATTGATGAGGACATTCCCGGTGTTGAAGAGGATGAGGTAGAAAATACCGAAGAGGTTAAGGCACGTAGAGCTGAAACACTCAACATACTTGATCCTACAGTAAATATAAATTCTTCAACAAAATCGTCTAAATCACCTCAAATGTCAATGAATTCTCAAGACGTGATCGAGGAGCCTAATTCCTATGATAGCACTTCAAATAATAGAGAATCAGTAGTACGTAAAATAGTTAACGATCTTGAGAGGAATAACTCGCTAAGTTTGAATGATAATGAGCGAAAATCTTCCCAAGAAAGTGGAAATAGGGAAAGAGAGATTAAAGATGATGATTTTTCATCCGTCTATTCTTTCGCATCAGCTAATGAGACCAATGCAGGTTCTAATAGAGGATCTAAAGAACCCGTTGTCTCCAAAAAGACATTCAGACATGTTGAGGTACAGACTGATCCAGTTGTGGAAAGAAGTGATTCACTTTCAACCATTTATACAGGCAAATTTACATTTGGAAACCGTGACACGATTTACGATACTAGTGGTTCAAATAATGACTATCAAAATACCCGGCAATCAGTTTTGCTTTCACCTGATGATAATAGTATGGACATCAAACGATTTACCCTCGACTTAAGTTCACAACCAGGACACCAAACAAATGTTCGTAGCCAACAACGGCCACCTGTAAAAAGTATCCAATCGAATACAGAGAACGAAGGTTCTCAATCCAATAATCAACAAGATAAACAGCAGAATTCTAATAAACCTATTGATCAAGTTAGTAGTTTGGACCCTCCACCACGTCCTTCAGTTGGACCACCAAAACCTTTAGTTACTCAAACTCAGCGTCCTGCACCCGTGAACTTTGGGCAACAGGCTGGATCGCCAAAAATTCCGCAATCACTTAGCAACATCCAGGGACAAAGAGGATCAGATGATTTACACGACAGTTCTTCATATCCAAATGGAAGTCGTTCAAGGGGAATTGGCAATACACATAATGAACTTTCTCATCATCATACACCTAGTTCGGGTTCGGTGTCAACCACAAGCAGTACCTCTACATCTCCTGATGCAACTGGTCGGCGGTCTGATTCATCACATCAGGACATTACTGGACCAGGGGTTGGACCAACGGGTACAGATCCAAACATTATTCATGCAATTACCCAAACTATGATTGGAGAATACTTGTATAAATATACGAGAAGTAAATTTGGAGGTATATCTGATAAACGGCATAAGAGGTTCTTCTGGGTTCATCCTTACACTAAGACTTTATATTGGAGTAATAAAGACCCGGGTAGTTATGAACCCACCGATCCAAAGTCAAAAAGCGGGATGTCATACTTCGGTATGTATACAATGTTTTGAAAAGAACTTGTCTTTCTTTTGTATTAGAAAAATTAGATGTATAATTTATATATTATTTAACAATCTAGCATATATCGAGTCCGTCGATCAGGTTCCTGATCTTAATCCTTCTCCACCTGGTATATACCAAATGAGTCTGGTCATAAAAACCCCTGAACGCGAGTTAAAATTTACCGCTCCCTCTAAGGAGAGACATGATTATTGGTACACGGTAGGTTCGGTTCTATGTTCTTTAAATAAACGAGTTATTCAATTGTTTCAACTAACTAACTGTACCTGTTTTATATAGGCTCTAAGTTATTTATTACAGCGACATGATGAAACTGGTCAGGGTCAGGCGGCTGGGCGGCCTTCGAAAGTTGGTTCAGATCCATGGGACAGTCAAAATTCTCATAACCTACATGCCAATACTTCACCAAATGGTTCATTAAAAGGAAATAATCTTAGAGAGGTGAAGAAAAAATCTAGTTTTAGTAAACTTAATTCGCTGTTTCGTCGACAAGATGCATCCTCCTCGTTACCAAATTCTCCTTTGTCAACGGAGTCCATCGATGGTCAGTCTAAACAATTGGCAGTTCCAGGTTCTTCCCAAAATGGAATGGATGATGAAGACGAAGATTTGGAAAATGTACGACAATGTTGTGACGGGAGACATGATGTTAGCAAGTTGGAGAGAGCACCACATAAAGGTCATCATCATCATCATCATCACACACATTTTTAATTTCATTTGTAAAAATCAAGAGAATTTCGGATATTTCGCTTGGCTTTCCTTTTCACGTTATCTACATGGTATCTTGAATTTACTATTATTATTTTTAGTTATAAAGAGTCGGATTCATGTGTGGCGGAGAACCATAAACTTTATTTTATTTAAAAAAAAAAATCTTTTTATTATTCACTGTTGGTTTGTACACTATAATGTTATCTGTTACCAAAACATGCTTATGATTTATTAAATTTGCTTACAGTAATCTGGCTTATAAATAACGAATAGATACACAGTATGTAGATGTTCTTATATTAAATTCAAATATATATATAGTACATATAATTTAAATTCAAATTTGCCTATAATGTTTAGTAAACAGTATTTTTTAGTGTAACTTGTTTAAAAAAATAATTTAATCTAATAAAGCCCAGTACTTCGGAGATTTTTTATAAGTATTAAGTAAAAAATATACATTATACGATCTAATGTTAAATATTTATTATAATTTAATAAATATATTTTTTATAATATAGTTATATTGTATATGTTGCTTTTAATAATAGTAAATATTTTTTTAAAAAATTATTTGATGTATAATTAAAGATAACTTGAATCAAATAGATAGATAGATATATTTATATCCAGGGCTTCTAATGATATTACATTGATACTATTTTAACACTAGTACTTACTACTATTTTGATATTACTTCAATATTAGCTTAATACTTTTTTGGTGCCTTATTTATATCTTATATTTATAATAATTAAATATAATTTAAATAAATATATAATATAATATATAAGTTTTTAATATTTTATAAAGTTTTAAATAACATTTGAAAATTAAAAAATTGTTTTTGAAACTGTTATAAACAATTATATTTATGTAAAATTTTATTAAATTATTTTATAAAATAAGTTTACGTAAATATCTTTTAAAGATTTGATAAAATACAAGTTTTTATTTTTATATATTATTTTTTATGATTAAAATTATTTTTATATTATTTTTATATTATTTTTTATTAAAAAAAATTTTAAAAAATTTTATTATAAACTTAAATAAATTTCTTTTTTAAATTATAAATAAGCTACTTATAAAATTTGTATTATGTATTTATATTAAAACTTGTATAAAATTTTTTGAAATTGATTTATTGCAATTTTTTAATTTATATTAATATAAGAATAAAATCAATACAAAATTTTAAAAATTTTGCATCACATTGTATATTATATAATTTGTAAAATATTTTTTATTAATTGTATTATATTTTGAAAATAAATTATTATTAATTTAATATTGTATATTATTAGAATATTTATATTTATATTTCAACTTTTATTTATTAATTTAACAAAAAATTTTTTAAAAATATAAGAAATATTTGAATTATATTCCTATTTTCAAAATCATCATATTTTTATTTTAATAATTTTATATACAGCACGTTTTTAAAAATCAATAACTATAATTTAATAATAAGCAAGGTTAAATATGTTTTTTTAAATCTTTCGATTTTCAAATTTGTAATATATATTTTTTAAATACAGTATTCATGGCTGGCGTGTTGTTACGAATTTACTAATTATCAGTGAAAAATGATTTTAAACAACGTAGATTTTAAAAATTTTGCATACATTTGAAATACCTTAATCTTTGATATTATAAAAAATGTTCCAAGTAACTAATTTTTTATAAAAAAAGTAAATCAGGCAATAGGACGTTATTATAAGTTTTGAGATTTTATTGGATTAATATAGTATTAAAACAATAAAAATCGCCAATTATTGGCGAATAATAATTTTGGTAATAATTATGAAGGTGATTTAACCTTTTAAATATTTAATCCATTTCAACCATGTCTGCAACCTCATCATCATAATAATCCTCGGCATTGGAACTCGACGTGTCAAATCCTTGATTCCCTATAATGGAAGCTGGCCTACTAACATCGTCATCTTCACCTTCTTCGTCCCCTTCAAGGACATAATCGCTTGAGTCAGCTACTAAACTTTTACCGTCCCCTTGGTCTTCGTTACGTTCCAGATTTTCGTTGGCCGAATCAGTGACGAATGTCGTCGCGGATTCATCAATTTCTTCTACAATTTGAATATTCAACTCCTCGATATCTTAAAATTAAACCATATATTTGTTGGTAAATTTAATTTAGAATGGATCTAGATAAATAAAAGAATAACTCACTAATTGGTATACGGGTATCTAAAGCATCATTAACACGTTCAGGATTTGTTTTCCTTTCTCGTTTATATTTATTTTTTATTTGTCCACGCGTTTTAGTATTATGAAATGACTTTTGAGCTATTATCTCGAAATCCGTTCCCCATTGGGATAAAGACTAAAAACAAGTTTAAGCAATTATTCGACAATTTTAAATGGCAAAATATAATAAACAAGAATGAAAATTGATAAAAAATAATTTTAAAAAGTTTACCCTGTAAAACAACTCGGTTTCCTCATTCGTCCACCTTTCATTTTTTCTCGGACGTTTGGCATAAGAGTGTGAATTTACAATGTGCGAGAATTTATCTTCTTCAATAACCTCCATTCCTTCAGCATTAAATGTGTTACGTCGTTCTTTGGGATCTTCTCGAACAGTATATTGTCCATTGTCGTTTATGAATCGACTACCGCGGTTTGCAAAAACACGACTAATATTCGTGAAATAATAGCGTGTTTTAGAAATTAGTGCAATCTCGGAATATTTGATTAATTTAAATTCTACCGTTTCATCAGTATCGGCTTGTCATTGCTTTCATTATTGGCTTCTTCATCGGTATTTCTCTCTTGACTATCATTCTTTTCATCCAAATCACCGGTGGTTTCTTGATCATAATTTCCATCATCTTCTTCATTATCATACTCGTTATATTCTTCATCACAGTCGTAATTTTCATTAAAGTTTTCTCCTTCAAGATTCTCGTCCAGTTCATAATCTTCAAGATTTTCGTCTTGTTGGTTATCTTCTAACGGTTCTCCATCATCGTTATTATTTGACGATAAATCTTTTTGAGTTGACGATGTAGTTTCTTCCTCCGGATTATTAAGCTTTAGACGTTTGGCACGTCTTTGCTGTGCTTTATGGTATTTAGCCAATTCTAATTCTTTAAAAGTAGTTGACTTTCTTCCTCTTTTAATATCTTTACATAACTCCGCGATGGTAACAACTGCATCATCATGTGGAATCTCCTCCTCAGGATCATCTTCCCAAGGTTTAACTCGTTTTTTATTGTTAGGTTTTCGTGGTTTAGGAAGTTTTCGTTTCTTGGTCATACTGCTAATTCCAGATCCATCGGTTGTTGTGGATGCTACCGAAGCTGCGGAACTAGAACTTTTGCGGCGTTTGGTGGTTTTTTTGGCCAACTCCTCAGAATATCCCAACGTGGATTCTGATTCGTTATCGGAGGGGTTTGATCTTTTAGAAGCGGTTTTACGATTAGGAGGAGCGTGTTTCTTTGATGAAGATTCTGAATGATCATCAGTCGTATCATTCTCTGTCGTGATATGGTTAGATAAAGATGGTGGTAGGTGGTCCACACCTGTGGCATTATCTAAACTTTTAAGCATGTCTAAATTATTTTTGTCTGTAGGGTTGCTTGGATCAATGGTGAAAGATAAAATCACCCTTGGGCTCGATGAATGTTGCAACGAAGCAGTTTGGGTTGTTTTCTTGGAGTTAATGGATAAACCCTCTGATTGAGAATCACTCAAGTCATCTGTAGCGACATTTTCTTTTTCCATGAAAAATTCAGTGACAGTAATATCATCTTGGTCCGAAGTAACCTTTGAATCTGCGGATCGCTTGTTTACTTCATAATGGTAATTATCATCCGTGTTCGCTTCGGACTCACTTATATCATTTCCATTGTCCCTAGAGCTTGATGGGACATTTATGGGTGTGGGTTGCCTAATTTGACCAGGAACATCAAAAGGCGTTCCTATTACTCTCGGTTGGTCAATAGGTATGCCTATGCAAGAATTAAAAAAAAACAATTGTCAAATTTTGGAATTACGCATTCGGACTTTCAATAATCCGAAGTGAGTAATAAATGCTTTCTTATGTACCTGGTTTTGACTTCACCAAGGTTCTAATGGCATACAATGACCTTGAATAATTTGAATGCATTTGACACGAAAAGAGAAATGTGAAATTCTCATTTTGATTGGAAATCACAAAAATTGTGATGAACAAGCCACAGGGAGCCATAGAATCCGCCACAGTCATGCTTTTAATATTCTCTAAACCATTTACCTCATCACTTCGAAAATGTCTCAACCGATCTATGAAACACTTATTTCACAACTTCTAGAGAATCCTTTAAACTGGTTTTTATCGAGTTTCCTCGTCTATGTTGTTTATTCATACTTGACACCGCCTCAACATCAATTACCAATTTCGAGGCATCCAGACACCACTGTTTTCAGAGAGTATACTCCAATTGAGTTAAGAGAGTTTGATGGCAGAACTGATAGAACAAAAATTTACATGGGTGTATGTGGTAAAGTTTACGATGTAACAAAGGGAAGAAATTTTTATGGTCCTGGTACGGTTCGAATTTTATGTCTCGAGGATTCTGACAAATGTTGCTTTAAACTAACGAGATTAAATTTTCTGACAAAATAATGATAATAATAATAATAATATCCATAATAAGACGGACCTTATGGTAACTTTGCGGGTCGAGATGCATCTCGCGGGCTTGCAAAAAATTCCTTCGATATGGATGTGCTTACTCCTATCGATCAACCCTTGGATACCCTCGAAGATTTGACCAAAGACGAAATTGAAAGTCTTAACGAGTGGCATGCTCATTTCGCGAATAAATATGAATGCATCGGAAGACTTATTAACAACTCGGATAATTGATAGATACTTGGTATTTCAAGTATGATGGTTGAAAAATATTTGAAAAACATTTGCTAACAATGTACTTTGCAAATAAACAAAGTCAAAAAAAACCCCCCGATCGATCTAGCGTAAACATAAAGCATATTCGTATTTAGAAATAATACTTTAATACTTTATATCTATTTGTTTTTTAATTACGAATAAAATTTTTAATATAAAAAATAATACCTCTTTCCAAATCACTTTTATATCATAAATTTTTTATCATGAAAATTACATTATTTTAAAAAAACATTAATATATTGAATAAATAGTATTGCGTAAATAACATTTTTCCAGATTTTTTTTTAAAGTATATAATTTAGAAAATATCATACTAATATTATTTTTAATTAAAATAAAAAAATTTTTAAATTAAAGATAATGACTATAGTCTAAATAATAACTACTTTGAATTAAAAAACCATAAGAGTTTACTTAAACATAAATTCGATACTTTGAATTAAGAATATGAGAGTTTACTTAAACATAAATTCGATATATACTTTCTACATTTGAGTAGTTGAAAATATCAATGCAGTAGTTTTTTATCTTATTTAAAATATGATCAAAAATTATAATGAACTCATCTTTTTCAATAGATTGATGTGAAATAATTAACTTGGATTAATATTAAATTTATTAATACAATAATATATACATATAGTATATCTATTTTAATATAAAAAACTTTTGTTAGAAAAATAAAATTATAAAATAAAATCAAAAAAATAAAAAAAAAAATTAAATGATATTATTATAAATTTTTGTTTAATTTTAAAACATATAATGATAACTACAGTATATACAGTATATATTTTTTTTATTTGCTTAATCGTTTTACATGCAATACATTTCTAATTTAATTCTAAAGTGTGCTCACCGTAAATTGATTTTTAACAAATTCGATCTAATTTTGGAATTTCGTAAAATTATATTTAAATAAAATAATAATAATAATAATAATAATAATAATAATAGTATTTTTCTTGTTTTTTACTGTGTCTCGAATAATAATACGTGAATAGAAATGAATCCATATTATTAAATAAAAAATTGAAATACTGTATATCTGTGAATGTTGAGTATTATTTTTAAAATAATCGTTAAAGAATTAATAATAATAATAATAATAATAATAATAATAATGATTTTTAATTAATTGTATTATATCATATGTTATCATGAAATCTTTAATATTAAATATATATATGTTTTTTTAAAAAAAACGAATAATATCTAGATTCGACTTTACAAAATTTTATTTGGCAAATCTATATACTGTAGTTGTTTGATGTTAATACAGTAAATTGTATGCATATATTTTTTTATCCTTGAATCAACACATAGTGCATGATATTAAGGTCGTCATGCATTATAATTAAACATAAAAATTTAATAAAATAAAGATGTAAATGACAAGGTTTACTGTATATTCACCCTGCTTTTAGAAAACAATTCTCACCCATTTCCTGTTATGAAAAAAATGCTTTTCTATATAATTTGGACTTCCGGATTTGTAAATTTGAAATGATTCCCTAATGTGTGGCATGGTGACACACGAGTCTACAAATTTTGATTATCGTTAAACTAGCAATTCTGCAGTCTTTTGCAATCAAGAAAAAAGTTCGAAATGCAATTCTTAAGCTGTATAACGGTAAATTGTATAACTTGCAATTTATTAATGACAATTTCCTTGTCCGTTAATTTGTCATTCCTTGAAATTTAGCGTAATGCTTCTCGTTCTCTTAAAACCGCGGCAAATCACATAGCCAAAGGAAGCGTGATCGAGTATAAAAACCGACATTTTTTTGTGAGTAGAATAGATTCGCATTGGACAGGAAGAGGCTCTGCAGCGATGAAAGTATCGTATCTCGTTTATTCAGTAAAAAATTGTTCCCATCGGCCTTTTTTGACGTAAATACCGTTTTTTGGTTCTCAGTTCGATTTAAAAGACGTAGTGAATGGTCAAAAGTTGACAGAAAGAATTAGGCCAACAGAGTACTTTGAAGGTTTCTCTTCAACAACACTGCATAGTCACGTGATACCATTTATGATAATAATTCGTTCTTTATTTTCTACCAGTGGTAACGGTTAAAGAAAGAAACTACCGTTATTTGTATTCCGATGGAAACACGCTGCACCTTATAAACGCCGAAACATTAGATGAAATTGAAATAGATTCAGATAAAGTTGATGGTATGGTTGAGGATTTATGAGATAAAGTTAAGCGGTAAGAAATTAACCACATTGCTCTTGTAGGTGGTGAAAAGTCGATAAAATTATTAGACGGTAAGCTAGAACGGAGGTCTGGAACGAAATTTCGAATTTTTAAACGATTCTCTGCATATCAATATGTTTAGACGACATGAACTTAACTGTCGCCTTTCTGGAGACTGAAGAAGGCGAACGTGCTATATCTGTTCGTCTACCTCACATGTATGCTTACGAAGTTGTGTCCAATACTCCAAATATTGGGAGTTCCTCCAAAGGTTTGTGATGATGACATTTTTAAAAATTCAATTGGAAATTCGTTAACGGTCCGCCATTTACAGGGCCAGCTCAAAAGACTGTTGAAATAAAAGGCGGTATTCATGTTCAGGTTCCGGAATTCGTCAATGTAGGAGAAAAAATTTTTATAACTTTGAGCGACTTCAAATATTGCAAAAGGGCATGAAATAATTAAAACAGGTCACAATCATTGAAGATTAGAAAGATTAATTTTAGACTATTAAGTTATACAATAAGTTCATCATGTGATCATAGTATTTTATTGCATAAGTAGAAATTGCAAGAACTGATCTCAAAGTAATTATCAGTGCAATTTTTTTATGACAAAAGAATTTTGTTAATTCTCCGTGACGATTCTTCCAAAAAGTTGTCAGTCACCATGGATAAAGAAGGTGAATGAGGAAAGAATTCCTTATCTATGTTCAAACATTATTTTGCCAATAGCAAGTACGCGCTCGTTTGCTTTTTACGGTGTTGTGTTTTACGCCGTCCATCAAGAATTTATTACAACATATGCCAAGTATTACAAGCATTATTTGTATTGGAAAGAAAAGGATTCGACGGAAAAAACAGTACAGTAGAGAGTTATGTACACAAAGATTAGAAATATATATACTGTATATAATGTGAGATTTTTAAAAATACAATAAAATTCTAAAAATACAATTACCGTATTAATACATTGCGCAAGTCGTTCACTTTAATGTGGTCTAGATTAAAGTTGCGGATAATAATTAAATAATCGATTCCTCATACTATAACGAGGGGAATTATAATGCAAAGTTAATCATAATGCACTATATGTAAGAATAAATAATTCTCTATTTTAGACGGGAACACATTATTATTTTAGGCACGAGCTCTCGCGTTCCATCAGATCACAAGCTCATTCCTCAGGCAGTCAATGAAAATTTCTAAAAATTTCGTTTGATTGCATCATTAAAGTTCGCACTTTCTTTCTCTACCTGCTCATTATTTTACAATTGAATTAATCGAATTAAATCGTTCTTCTGAACCGGGTTTTTTTTTTTCTTTATTAATCTAAAGTTCGTCATATGAGGTCTACTAACAATTTTAGTGTCCTTTCTCACTTCATCCGCCATACTTTAAATACCAAATGGCTAATCCCAGTATCACAGCAATCAGAAAAAGCGAGAATACAGACATCAGTCGATTATATCTTTTCCATCGGTAGTCTGTCATGCCTTTCGAGTGTCTAGGAAAGAAAGAGCCAAACCACCAGAGAGGTGGCAATATGAAGCCCAGCACGAATAATACCGACCCATACGGACATATTACGAATGGTTCGGGTGGAGGTCTGATACGTGGTTTTGGTGGAGGTAAGTTTGCAAGATAGTTCTTTCTGGTTTCTCTCCATGACGAATCTCTGTATGGTAATTTGCCCTTTCCAGTGTTCCTTTTGGGTTTTGACGATTGACTACTTTTTGGTTGACTTGAAGACAGATTACTACTGCCGTCTCTATTGTTCTTTTCATTGTTATTATTGTCATTAGGCGATCCAGAACCACCAGCAGCTGCAGAGGTTGAAGCCTCCGGTAATATTATATCGGGGTCTTCAGGATCTTTGTCGAATTGTTGTTGTTGATTGTGCGAATAATATTCATACGCCCACGAGGGCAATGAGCCCGAACCTGATGAAGCCTGGGATTGTCTTTTGTCATCGGAATCCATCTGTATCACACTTAATTCTATACTTTTCCCTTTATCCAGTATGGACGCGGGTATTTGATATTTCTGAAGCGATTTATCTGAATCATTGGGAAGTATCGAAGGGCGAGTGGAAGTTATTTTAGATTTGTCTAATGTGGAAGAATTCTGAATGGATCTACTTTTCGTTCTCGTATCATCCGCTTTTATCGTTAGAGCCTTAACTGGCGGTGGTGCAACTTCTGTTGACTTGAGGTCGCCAGCAGCCTCGGCGCTGGAAGCGGGTGGTCTCGCGGAAGAACCAGCGCCGGTCCCATATCCTCGTTCTTTGAGTAAATTTTCAGTAACTTGGTATGACCAACTGCGTGAAGCATATTCGGAAGGGTGATAGGTGGGAGGAGGCAAACGCCCCGTAAAAGAAGTTCTCCTTTTTAACGGCAGGTTGAATAATGTATTTTTTGGGAGTCTAAAGTTTAGAGGCCGACGAGTCGTCGAATGGTTTAATTGTAATGATATTTTTTAACGGGCGTTTTCCTGAAACGTCAGTCTCGAAAATAGAAACCAAAATTAAAGGGAAAAATGTGTAGATTTTCCGGTGAGGTTGTTCCACCGTGCGTTTAGAATAGAAGAAAGTACGAAAAAAAGGAAAGGAATGTAAGCAGGCAAGCAGTTGGCCGAAAAAAATTCTTCAAAGCGTGGGACGATGACAAAGTAAGCGCTTACCACCAATTTTAGCATTAGGTTTAATCACGTGCCCATTGCCGATTACACGAAAACTGAGCCGTTATTTGCGTTCTCACATACATAATTAGTTTAATATGTACGGTTGTGTCGTGCACGTACGTATTATATATATATACATATCTGATATTGTACATTTGGTTTTGCGTATGGGCAATGATAAATAATAATTAATGTTTCGTGTACCAATAACATAGATAATTTAGTAAGTTTACGTACTGTATTTGATCAGTGCCATATACTGTAGGCAAGCGATACTCATTAAAGAGGTGCAAGAACAAAAAGAGAAATCAAAGATCACTAATCCAGTTAATATCAGATATATTTGGCCATTTCTTTCGGGAAAGAAAAACCTATTAGTGCGTTGTGCCACACCAGAACCTGCTTTCCGAAACCATTGCGTTTTGAAGGTTTGGACAGCTTTAATGATTATTCTCCTAATATGTAAACATTACTGTTCATAATATCTGATTATTATCCCAAATAAGAATCATTCCATTATTCACCATACTCTGGACTGCCTTTGTTACTCGACCAACCTTTGTTTGTCAACCTCATGGCTCTAATTTAGTGATTCCCCATTTAATTAAAAAAAAAATTCATCGTATTAAAAAAGATGGTTTATTTTTCGTTTTAGGATTATCACGTGATACTAATTTGGCGTTTGAAATGTGTAACCATGAATCTACCTAAATTTAGCGAAATGAAAACACACAGGTGCACTCATGCACCTTCTTCAAAAATTGCTTTGGAACCATGCAGGTAGCGTAAACAAGATGTCATCAAATTTGAGATCTTCTAAATATTTATACAACATTATAGGGTCTCCATGTGGTTTCGCAGAAAATGTAAGGGTCACAGGCAAATTATCGAGTAAAATTTTCCAATTTACGTTAGCATCATGACCACAACGACTATATGCGCGAATATTAAAACATTTAAATGTCATCATGGATGGATTTAATTAAAAGAGTAATATTTGACCTCGTTTAGGATAAATTAGTTCCTCACAATCGACGACTTGCCATACACGATCATACAATCATGAGATGGAATGAAAATCAAAAAGAACTCTTGATGCACGTTCAAGAATCGTGACAATCTTTCTTTATGACATTAATAAATATTAATTTAAATCTAGAATTTTTCTGATAAATCCTTTACATAAATTTTGACCGATTCAACTTCTTCTCGCCTAAACACCTGGTTTAGGGACGATCTCATTTTGTCTGTAATCCTGGGACAGTAGTAAAGAAATTCGATGGTTTTACGCTGAAGATTTTCGGGCAGTGAAATAAACGGTCCGTATAAAGGGCCTGCATTTTTATTCACGATCAAAAGTGTGATTTTATGATTTTTTAATTATATGAATAATTAATGAGGAAGGAGATCATACCTTTGTGAGGTAGTTCCACGTAAAAAAATGGAATAAGGGATGTTTGTAACTGATCCCAAATCTGTAGGATTTGCATTCCGTGAATATTAAAAAGAGAACAAGACCATCATTATTTTTAAAATCGACCTACCTCATTATCAAACATACACTTGTCACCACGTTTCGCAAAATCGCATAAAACGCCGAGGATATCCTAGTAAACGTGAAATCGAACAAAAATAGATGTTTAATTTCATCATGATTCACCGAAATCTCACGAATTTTTTGTTGTTTGCTTACCTCCGTGGTTTCTAGACTATTGGTTTTTAGCTCCCATAACAACTTTGGTAGACTTAAAGCCCAAGTTTGTAAGGATGCAACCAAGGAAGAGTCTTTACGATTTGAGAAACTTTGCAACTTTGTGAAAGTTAATATTATGAATATTAAAGCAAAAAGAAAAGGAATCCAATATGCCTTAGTGTGTAATTACCATCAATCCTCTTGATATGAAATCTATGCATTTTCGTTTGGCGATAGATTGAGCGTGGCATCTTCGAGAGTAGTCTAGGATTGCCTTTAAATCATTCAAGTCAGTCGACTATTTAGATAATCAAAGGTGTCAAAAGACGGGATAACATACTTCAAAAATGATTTCCTGTCTCTCTTGATCTGCACAGTTAAGCAAGCCCCAAATAGTAGGTAGCATTGCAGTCAAATGTTCTGGTTTCGTGTGCATCGAAATTCTCATCATATTATTTTTGCTTTGCTAAATTGCAAAGCACCATATAATATTAGGTCCGCTTCCGTTGCATAGAAATTACGATAAATGAGATATCACCTCAGACCCCAAAAACTCAATGACATAATCGAAGACTTGATCAATCCAAAAATTATCTGATTTTATCGTCTCGGAGTCATCATCTCTTTTCCTTTTTTTACGTGCATGAGCCAGCGTCAATTTTTTACTATTTAACTTAAGTTCTGCTTTTCCCGGCGGAGGGTTCAAATTTGTCAAAATCAAATATAAGATCACCATTTCGCAAAACATAATGTTCATTTCTTGTAAAATTGATTCAACCTTTTCAATGTTATTGATTGATTAGAGATCCAATGTCAACATAAAACATAATCAAAAGAGCGTATACCTTCAAATCTTGTATTCCCTCAGACCTAGAACCAAACGGAAAGTGAATAACAAAGTACCTGAGTAATTGTTTTAAGGTGGCCTCGATCAATTGTCCATCGTTCGCGCTCTAACCATGTATTTCAAAATTCATGTAAATTTTTGTAGAACGACGTAATACACAAATTATGGGATTCGAATCATACTTTGTTCTTAAATACGTTGTGCACGTAAGAACGCCACAATAAAGTTATCATTTTCAACGCAGTATGAATTAATTGCAATTCAGGTTGCATATGAAGGAAAGCTGTTGACGAATCAAAAACTGATGGTACGGTTTCCAACCACACGGAAAGAAGTATGGGGTGCAAAGTATTTAATAACTCCTGAACGTTAGTAAAGAATGAATGATGCGTGCTTAGAGGATGATCAATTCTAAATAGGTATGGACAAAGAGGAAATTACTTTGGTAGCGGCCGTACGACCTTGTAAAGTCGAAACATCGCGATCAGCCAAATTATCTCTAGAATCCTCATCCTCGTTTCCAATATTAATAAAACTTTTATTGACTTCTGTTGATGACACTGAATTGAACAGATTTAATTGTTTATAGTTGTGCTCGACGTCGGGTAGCGATAAAAAAGGTAGGAGAGTAGCTGACAGGGAATGTAGAGGAGGAGGCCCCATCTAGTTAATTTTTTTATTTAAATTTAAAATCAACATCCTCATCAGTGCATTTGTGAAATTATATCTAATGCAGACCTCTCCGTGAAATTTCGACCAATCGTTTAAAACGCCTTGGTTCGATCTATAAATAGGTTTAGTGGTTTGATTTCCCAAACGATCAGAAGGTGATAGGTCCAAGAAAAACCAATGACTGTAATGTACAAAATGATGGTCAGAACAAAACTGCATGTTAAGATTTAAACTTTACAATGAAAAAAATTATTACGAATTTTCTTCGTCTCCTTTGGTTAACCCAAATTTTAAAATTTTATGGAAACTCGATAATATTTCAAATTTGATCTGTAAAAATTAAATGAAATAATTTAAATAACATAGATATACTACAAAAAATGCAAACACCACTGACCTCGTTTGACAAAAATCGAGTATGCGCGTTCACAGATAAACCGGTAATACCAGAAACTATGTGTTATTCAAGTTAGTTATGTGCAAAACATACATTACTATTCATAATCAAGTTATTTCTCACCTGAACCTTTGACACTTGTATTGGAAAAATTTGATTCAGAACTAAGTAGACTAATGTAATTTTGTATGATCTGAAGACAAAAACGATCACGTTTCACTACGAATTCATAACGAGGTTGATCGGTCCTTTAATATTTACCTTTCGCCAGAATCCGTCCACCACAATATCAGGAGCTACTGAAAGCCATATTTCCACGAATTTTATTGCGTCAATTCTTATGTCCTCATATATATGCGTCATTGCGGAACACGTGTATACGATAAGGAGAGGAAGAAAGGGCCTTATATCTGACTAGGATTTTATAGTCAACAATTAGTGCATCTATCCATCGTGTCATGTGTTCCTACTATAATTGCGTGGAATTCCCATACCTTTGGCACGTTTGGAAAAAACTCCGCAAAAAATGATAATAATGTTTTCCTGACATTTCTGTCCTGTAAAATAATAATTGATAATATTATTGATCTTATTATCATAAAAAAGGTGCATATTCGGGACAATGTAACTTACATTGTCGATGAGTAACCGTGCAAGAGAATTCACTATCGTGGACAATGATTCTGACAAAGTATTCGGGTATCTATAGAAAAAATCCTTGAGGCCTTGGATGGCGTCTAAAAATTATTGTAACTCGGTCAGATAGATCACGTGCACTTAACATAAGGTTCTCAAAGATCTATAACCTTTTCTGGTTCCAGGGCTATAGTGTTTTAATTGAACCACAAGATCATTCAGCGTTAAGTTCCGCGAATTGGTTATTTCATTTGATTTGTCTTCCGAAATGCTTTGACTAGGCAAAATTATTGCTATACGTGTTACAAAAACTTCACATTAAGCACTTTGATGACGGAAAAGTAAAAATAATAATGCATATATATGTTTACATCTTGATTTGAAGGATGTGTCTGTAAAATTTGCGGCTTTGGGCTTCTTTTTGCCAACCTTAAGCTTCGGTTTCTATATGGTCACGTAAGATCGTGGTTACTCAACGTAAAATAAGGATGTCGAAATTAAACCTTGCATCTCACTTTAAAATCTTCTTGCTGGAGTTTTCTTTTATGCTGACTCTTCTTCGGCATTATTTGAGTGTCCTCTTTAAAATGAATGTATAAAGGGCTGGAAATTCTCGATGTGTAACGATTCTTCCGATCGGATATTTTTTTTTCGCGATCTTAACGCGAACAGAGAATAGAAGTGTACGAAGGAAAGGGAAAGGGTTTTTAATTCCGGATCTTGCAGAAAAAGTTTATGGATTATTGGGTTCTTGTAGAAATTACTGTAAACTTTTAATATTAAAAATTTTTAGATAATCATCATTTTATTAAATTTTGTTGATCCTCACGTGATTATGATGTATATGCATTATTACTATTAATTTCTATTAAAAGACATATTTTTAATTATTATTGTTTTTTATTTTCAAAAAAACTTGCTTTGTTAATATTTTAATATTTTTTATCATACTTCAATAATTACATAATAAATAAATTTTAATTTAATTTTATATTCAAATATTTAAAAATATAAAGAATAAGATTATTTAAAATGATTTTTAAATTTTATTTTTCAAAAAATTATTTTGAATTCATTATAAAAAATCAATAATAAAAAATTATTAAAATTATTCTAATATACATATATATAATTTGTTAATCAAAAATTAATAAAATATAAAATAATTTTTTTAATTTTTTTATAAATCAAAAAATTTTATTATAAAGTAATCTATTTTAAAAATTATATTAAAAATTATATTAAAATTTGTATTAAAATTATAGTAAATTGGCTTTTTAAAAATTATAATAAAATATATTTAAATATAATAAAAAAAATTATTTATAATTTTTTTATAAATCAAATATATAATTATTTTTGAATTTTAATAGTAATTTGATTTTAAAATTATTATAATATTTTTTATTTATAATTTATATATTTATAAATATTGATTAAAAAAATTTTTAATATTAATATTATTTAAATTTTAAAAAATATATATTTGAAATTTTATATTAATTAAATTATTATATATTAAATTATAATTATAATAATAATCAAGTTTTATGATTTATAGGTTTATAGTACAATAATTAGTATTCTATAAATTAGATTACAAGATATCAGTTCAACTCTAGATAAAGGCAATTAAATAAAATTAATATAATATTTGATATTATAACTTGTTAAAAGTATTTTTTTTTTTAAAGTAAGTAAACATCATTTTTTTATTTGATTTATATATAACAGAATATATATTGTAAAAGAAACAACATTTCTCATGTGTTGATACAATGAGTTAAATGCTAGCTTGTTTATAGTAACTATGCAACTAATATTGAAAAGAAAATTTAAAACAATATATCTTGTCAAATGGCATCAAGCAGCTATAAATACCTACTTAGTATTAAGAGAAGTAGAATTAAAATTGGTAGATAAATTTGTTAGATTAACTTGTTAAAAGTATTGTTTTTTATAAAAAGCTGTTTCATATATTGATTTAATAGATATTAAAATTATAATCTTCAAGAAATATTATATATTATAATATAATAATTATCTAGTTAGTATTACAATAATTATTAGAGATTGTAAAATTTATAAAATATTTACTTTTAATTAAAATAATTTAATAATTCTTCTTTATGATATCTTAGTATCTTTTCAAGTATAGTTTCAAAAGATATTATTTCAATTCACATCAGGAAATTTTTTAGCAAAGATCTCTGAAGATCTTTGGATATAGACCTCTGAAGCGAAGGTTACTAT